CCCCAAAACCCCAAAACCCCAAAACCCCAAAACCCCATAAGGTATCAAGGTTATTGTATGATATAAATATTAAAAATGGACGCAAACGTTCTTTGACCCATTTGTTATGAAAACTATATCCTACCTGGACAACAACTAGCTTGTGGACAACCAATCTGTGAACTTTGTCTAGCAAATTGGGTTGCTAGCTCAGTACAGATTGTTCCTCAGGACAGAATATCTAGAAAAATGGAGAAATTTGTACGCTTCGAGATGAAATGAGTTAGCTCCGAATGATCCAACCTCGAGCCTGGATGTCTTAAGCATATCCTTACATATCAGGAATGAGTGGAATTTTTGCAAAAATATGAAAATAAAGTAGCTTTTGAAATATTCAGCTTGCATTTATTAGAGATGACAATGAAGGAGCACAAAAACGTCAGGCAATGACCGAACAAGTCATGAACATACTTCGGGACTATAGATCCCTCAGTCAAATGAAATCGAGAGTTAGAGTGTGAAAAGTGATATTGCCATTGGAAAGATTCTGTTTGATACTCTATTAGTCACAAAATCAAGGAAGAAATGTCTATATTCAGCTGGAAGCATTCCTACAGCCATTATCTAGCATCAGTCTTACTCTAAATTTTGGGTAATTAGTCATCTAACCCTCTCTAGATGTCCTTCATGAGACCAAAGTACTATGAGATTGAACAGAAATGGGCGAATAATTGATTGAATCTGTTGAGAACACTCTTTCTGCACTAAATGTGGAAATGGGGCACAGAGCCCTATTCATCAGAACAAGTTCTATTGATATTTGGGCGTCTTCCTGATGATATTTTGGAACTTATATATCATCTCGTTCACAATAAACCTCAAGATCAGCATTATAGTGAAGGATTATGGACAATTCTGGATAGTCATAGCTACAAACGTCATTGTATTCATTCTTGCAAATTTGTATTTCTTTTCAATACTATTTGTGATACTATTTTATCTAAAAATGAAGAGGACCCCTACAACAACTTTACGAAACAGAATCATAAGGGCAACCTGGCTTTGAATCACAGTGTTGTACCCACCAGTGTGGATAACCGTCGTTGTGCTTAGCCTTGTTTATATTTGGTTCTTCCAGAACTTAGGTATCATCTTTGGGGTCCAGATGCTGATCATCCTCACTATTTACTCATTCCTCTGGGTTGTCGTAAGTCATTAGTAATTTAAATTTGGAATGATTTTGATAAGCTGAAAGTTTTGTTGTTGATTGAATAATTCTATGCAGATTTTTTGTCTCAAAGCTCATTTTTTTTATAGAAGAAATGTAACCAATGAAGACTGGTAGCCAGGCAGAATGCACAGCCAGTCATAGCAGCAAACCAAGGAGCTGTAAATGCTCAGCAGAATCAGATACAACAGCCATTGCTAAATCAGGTTCCTCAGCAGCCCCCTAACCAGGTAAACCAAAATGACTCTTCTGAATCTTCCTCAGACGAAGATGACTTGGAGGAGAGCCCCATGATTTCTCCTGAAGAAGACAAGGAAGAAAATAAGGAGGAAGAGAAGTACAACCTGAATTCTGACAGATACCCTTATAACATTTAGACTACCTTTATGATAATCTTTGATAGCAAGCTTGCTTTATCAGCATTAATGTGGCTTTCCTTTAGTCCATGGTTCTTGGATATGGATCTTCTTGAAAATCTCATAAATTTTAGATCTTTTCAGAGTTATATTGGACTTAATTTAGTAAGAAAAGAATAGTAATTTCAGCTCAACATCCAAAATCTGATTAGCTTTGCTGTAGATAAAAATTAGGTTATACTAGATCACCTAGCCTGGTTGGAATTAAACTTTAACAGGCCCGGCAGTTTAATTTCTCCATAACTTCTCTGATTCCTAATTTGACTCTGCTTGACAGGTTTCAATCTATCACAAGAATGGAGGGGTTTTGGGGTTTTGGGGTTTTGGGGTTTTGGGGTTTTGGGGTTTTGGGGTTTTGGGG